TTCTATAATTTATTGATAAACAGTATAGGTATTGGTAGGTATATGATTTTGATGAAGTAGAACATTTTCCAGCATATATTAAAAATTATGTAAGAGACATAGATTTTTTCAAAATGTTTGTTGACTTTAGTGATTGTCAAATAAAAATTTCCATAATTATTTTTCATTTTGATGTTCCGTTTGTGGAGATAAATGAGGTATATATAGTGATTTGAGTGAAAGTCATTTATCTCGAATGCAAATGAAACAGAACTAAACATGTGCCTGATTCTACTAGAGGCATTCCTATAATAGATCCCGCTGCACGTATACCGAAGCCAACAACTTTATCGTCTTTAAATATAATGCCAATGGAACTTTCCTGGTGAGTCTAGATGAATGGTATATCTTTTTCCCGAGATCCAGTAACACTGAAAAATATCGAAATTATACCACATACCGTCGAATAACCATCAGACGCACTTCTTAGTGAATTAATAACTAAAATGATGAATACCGGAAATTCAAAAGCGAACTTAAATACAATTTTAGAATTTTAGAATTTTCCTTTTTTGAATATATCTCGAGGCAAGGATCTCAGTGTGCGTCTCTTATTTCCGGAACGTTATTCTCAATTTTTTTTTGTTCCTTTTTTTTCCCTCTGTTTATTCCATTCAACGTGTAACCAAGATTTTGGAGATAGGCTCTGGTGCCAAATTGAAAGATCAAAGGATTACAGTTTCCATCCTACATAGAGTGGAAGTAATTTCTGTTTTTAAATAAACCTTTCCTTCCTCCCCCTCTGCCTGCTCCGCCTCACCCCCTTGCTTTTTGACCCATTTCATTGTATATCACATGAGGCGACATTGTCTGCTAGTTTAATTAGAGGAAACAACGTGTAATTGTGATTAAACAATTTCACGACTGAAACAGAGAGATATTAAAACATCAACGAATAATTATAATAAATCAAATAATATAATTTCTGTTAAATAACATTCATTTTTCTCATGAATAGTGAAAAGCAGTTGCCAGAGCTTCAAAAGGTAAAAACGAATATGATGGCCTTTAATGAAATTCCATCTCTTCTAAATATATCCCATAATAGAGGGAATAACTTTGCAAAATTAATATTGAATCGAGAACAATTGAATTCGTAGAATTTTTTTAAGATTTCATTTCATTTTAATAATAATTGTATTATTATTATACATATCCTTACTGTTAATTTTTTACTTTACATTTATTTATTATAATTTGCAAATATATGTAAGTGCAGACTTCGCACTCATCTACTAAAACCTAGAGTTTTTTTGACTAAAGGAAAAGTTTAAAATACAAGTAAAGTATTTTTGAAGAGCCCAAAATAATTAAGTTAAATGCCATAAAAAAGAACAAAAAATTTTGAATATTAAAAATTTCGATTTTTTGTAAATTTTGGAATTATTTTTTTAACCAAAGGGATGAGACAAAAAATTGGGTAAAGTGTTTGTAAAAAGCCCAAAAATAATGAAGCTAAATGCCGTAAAAGAAAAGAAAAAAGGTTGAATTTTAGAAAATTCGGTTTTTAAATTTTTGAGAATTTTTGAAAATTTCAGATTTTTTACTAAATAGTAGAGACTTTTAAATAAGTAAAGTATTTTTCAAGAGCACAAAAATATTGAAGCTAAATGCCGTAAAACATAAGAAAAAATGTTGAATTTTAGGAAAATCGGTTTTTCGAATTTTTGAGAATTTTTGAAAATTTCAGATTTTTTACCAAAAAGTGGTGACTATTAAATAAGCAAAATATTTTTCAAGAGCACAAAAATATTGAAGCTAAATGCCGTAAAACATAAGAAAAAATGTTGAATTTTAGGAAAATCCGTTTTTCGAATTTTTGAGAATTTTTGAAAATTTCAGATTTTTTGCTAAATAGTGGAGACTTTTAAATAAGTAAAGTATTTTTCAAGAGCACAAAAATATTGAAGCTAAATGCTGTAAAACATAAGAGAAAATGTTGAATTTGAAGAAATTCGGATTTTTGAATTTTTGACGATTTTTGAAAATTTTAGATTTTTTACCAAAAAGTGGAGACTACTAAATAAGTAAAGTATTTTTCAAGAGCACAAAAATATTGAAGCTAAATGCCGTAAAACATAAAAAAAAATGTTGAATTTTAAGAAATTCGGTTTTTCGAATTTTTGAGAATTTTTGAAAATTTCAGATTTTTTGCTAAATAGTGGAGACTTTTAAATAAGTAAAGTATTTTTCAAGAGCACAAAAATATTGAAGCTAAATGCCGTAAAACATAAGAAAAAATGTTGAATTTTAGGAAAATCCGTTTTTCAAATTTTTGAGAATTTTTGAAAATTTCAGATTTTTTACCAAAAAGTGGTGACTATTAAATAAGCAAAATATTTTTCAAAAGCCCAAAAATATTGAAGCTAAATGCCGTAAAACATAAGAAAAAATGTTGAATTTTAGGAAATTCGGTTTTTCGAATTTTTGAGAATTTTTGACAATTTCAATATATTTAAATATAAATTTCATATATATTTCAAAAATTTTTAATACAATTTTAAATAAATTCCTTGAAAAATGCAATTATTATTAAAAATTATTTTAAAACTTGAGGAAAGAATTCAATTTAAGAATCATTTAATTATTCAATATAACAATAAATTCTCATAAATTCAATTATTTACAAAAATAATTGAATTTTTCACAGGAATTCAATTATTTTCAAATATTTTACACTGTAAAAAATTTATGGAGTTAACAGACACGGGAGTTGGGAGTTAAATTTTTCGAGTTAAAAATCAACTCCAAAGAGAGTTAATTTCTAACTCCCTTCATTCAACACCCGCGCGAGTTATTTTTTCCTTGGGGAGTTAGCATTTGGGTGTGAAATTTTAACTCTCTTTATTTAACTCCCCTGGCATTAACTCCCCAATGGGTGCGACTTTTATAGACCCCCCGGGGAAGTTAAAATTTAACTCCCTTTTTTTACAGTGTAATAAAAAATTGTTCCAAAGAAATCAATTATTTTATAGGTACAATTTTAATTAAATTTTTTTGAAATAATTCAATTATTCTTTTAGATTTTAATAAAATGAATAATTGAATAATTCTGCAAAAGAATTGAATTCTGTAGATGGATAACAAAATTATTCACAAAAATTCAATTGTTTTGAGGCATTTGAATAAAATTTTTTGCAAAAATCAATTATTATTTTCATAAATAACAATATTCATCGCAAAAATCCAATTATTTTTAAAAGTTATAAATTTCTTCTTAAAAATTTAATTATTTTAAAAATTCTAATAAAATCGTACTCAAAAATTCGCAATTAGATGATTTTGAATATCTAATATTTTCATAAAATTTCCAAACAGAATTCAATTATATTTAAAAAAAAAAATTTGTAAAAACATTCGTAAGAATTCAATTCATTTTATGAATAATTTTCTCAGGAATTCAATTATTTAAATTAGAATTTGTCTAAAATTAGTAGAAAGAAATCAATTATTTAAAAATTTTTATAAAATGCTGCACAAGAATTAAATTATTTTTATAAATATTTAAATGCTTACATGAATAATAAAATTCGTTGTAGGAATTTAATTTATTAGCAGGATAAGAAAGAAGTAAATATTTTTGATGAAAATTAGGAAAAAGTCAGGAAAATAAAATATAAAATGGAATTTTTGTCAGTTTTGTGAATTGTCTGAAACGAGTTTTTTTCGATAGCTCCTTTTTTACCCTATTACATATATAAAATATTCACTGTGATCTCTAAAAATATATTTATAAAGTAATGCGCAACGTAATATTAGGTATACTAATATTACGTGCCTACTTGGGTTTGAAATTCGAGTGAATGGTTATTAGAGGTTTTGAATTTTTCGGGAAATTTCATGCACCAGAACCAAATAGTTGGGCCGACCGTGACAAAATAGGTTTATAAACTTTGGGCGGACAGTCAATTGTCAGACGAATGTCACGGTTTGACACACAACTTTCAATGCTAATATAATATTACCCAAGGTCACTCTAAATTAAGCAGAATCAATATTCTAAAAATATTTTTTATTATTATTCATTTAAACATCTTGAATTTTGTATAATCTAGAAATTCAATTTTCATTTTCTTTCTAAATCTGAACATAATATTTCGTAACAATTTTGATGTGGTTTTTTGTCTCAATTTGATATCCTTAGAAAAACTATGTGATAGTAACGACATTAATTTTTCTTAGTTTGGGATAATTTTCTATATTTTATACACGGAAAAAATTTTGGTGCACCAGTCGTTCCTACTAGTGCACGAGCTATACCAAACCGCAGGACGAATATTACCCTAGCGCTTGGTATAGCGGACGTACCGTTTTGTGACAGCAGGCGCACCCTTTTGGTGAGCCCTCTGCATTATTGCAATAGAGCAGACGATATACTTAATTTTGGTACCACTGCTTTACCGTCGTTTTTCCGTTTTCTTTTTAGTGCATATCATTGTGCGGATTTTTATATTCAATAAATAATTTTAAAGTGGAGTGTTTTGAATGATTCAATGATAAATATATTGAAAAGGAGATATTGAAGACTGGACATATTGAAGATTTAATACTTGTAAGTATATATATAATTAAATCTATATTTGCAGTAAAAATGGTTTTCGGCATTGTGAATTTAGTTTTTCAATGTGATGTTATGGATTTAAAAGTCTAATCATAATTATTATTCGGATAAAAATTATTATCATTAATTCTATTAAATATTATTTTCAATCTTTGCTGTAAAAATTTTCTATTGCAAAACAGTAAAAATTATGAACATTCACAAGAAACAATAACGTAAACAAAAGGATTGAAAAACATAACCTACAATTAACGAGAAATAATAGAACTTACATTTCTTGACAAATTTATATTAAAGAAACAAAAGTAATGACTAATTAATAAATATTATAAATAAAAAAATGTTTATTAGTATAATAAATGATAATAATAGAAAAAAATTACTATTATCTAGTTTTTTGATAATAAACCTCTCACATAAGAATGCAAATCTCTCACTTTACTAATTTTTTATGCAATTTTATGATTCACGTATCGATTTTGATTTTTTCGGAAGCAAAATATGTCGGAAGATGCTGCAGACGGTATTAATTCCCAACGTATGGAGATTGATAATGGCTTCGACTTGTCAAATAATGGCGAATTAAGTGAAAATGAGAATTCGATTAATGTGTCACAAGGTGACAAAGAATCACAAGGTTTTCGATAATAGAAATTTGAATTCTCATAATTTATTGGTTAATTTATATATTTATTTGCATTTTAATCATTGTATACATTTTTCAGATAATTTTACTTTTGAAGAAAACGATTTATTTCATTTTCTTAATTCCACTTTAGAAGGTCAGATAGTTTTAAGGAAATATAAAATTACTGGTAATCTCGATTATGTCAGACTTAAAGATTTGATAATTATGAGGGAGATAAAAAAAGATCCTATTAACTATTCGTAAGTCCATTTAGTCTCAGCGTAAATCAAATGCATTTACTTAATTTAAAGGAACACATTCCTCTATAAGAGCCGTTGGATAATTTATGTGATTTTTTTGTGAGGAGTTTTATTGATTTTTTGTCTAATTTGATGAATAGAAAAGTATTTATTTTTTTAGAATAAAAAGAAGAAGGTTTATTGAATTAAAAGAGCAATTAGAACAATTGTTTCCTACAGAAGATTCTAGCTTATTTTATATTCCGAGCAGCGAAACTGCGGATAAAGAATCTATGAGTGCCAGAGGGTGTTTATACAATTATTATAAAATAATCAGGAAAGAGTTGCGTGACGTGAGACTCTTATCCAAATCGCAAAATAAGAATTCTTCTTCTGATAACGTCAGTTCTGTCTGTAAGATGGAAGATTTTTTAATTTGTTTTTTAAAAATGTTTTTTAATATTGAAGTATTTTATGTTATTCCGTTGTGTGTGTATATATATAGGTATTCAAACTAGTGATTTCGAATCTTTGACAAGTCAAAATGGAGAGGCATATTCTATTGCAAAGGTTACCAAAAATTGGGAGGAAACATACAGTCATCGTATGAAGCTGCTTGTCTCACATTCAAAAAAAAACTCCACACCTTTAGAAGTGTATTTTAAAACATTTCCGCGACTCAAATCTCCACTTGGCTTACCTTTGGTTATAACTTTAAATTTCTTACTAATGTTTATTATACGTGAATATATGGGTTTATATTTTATTTTAATTCTATTTTTATTATTTTTAATAAACTTTTACTCATAAAATTGCAAGATTTTACATATATATTTTATTGTTCTATTTTTAACTTATCTTTTTAAATTTAATTGTTTAATGGTAAATTTTTTCTTGTAGCTTGAACAAGATTGCCGAAGGATATTTCAAGAAATCGCCAAAGAGAATAACGAACTGCGTCAACTGATTCAAAATAATCCCAATCACGCAATATTTGCTGCACAATGGCCAACACTAGCAAAAAAAATAGTTGTGTATTGTAAGAAGAGCAAAGCTGCTGATGTTAAAGTTTTTCTTCAGTCACATGAAAATTTATTCCAAGGAGGTATATAAATCATTATTTTTTAGTTCCATTTAAATTTTAAAACCTACTATTTTTTTCAAAATAAATATTAACGAAAAATATATGCATTTTACAGGTAGCAACGATAATGTTCTAGCTCTATTGCTACTACCCCTAATTATCAGAGGAACAAAAAAATTGAAAGTTGACTCGAAAAGTATTAATGTAACAAAAGAAGAGATAGCGAAAGCTTTTATTTTACACATTGAGGTAAATGAAATATATTTACTTCATTTTTTATACCGTAGCGTTAATCATATTCTATTTTCAACCATTTTCTTTTTTTACAGAACTTTGAGAACGTAATTGCTGGTCAATTTGAATTTGAAACTTGGTTGACTTCTTTAAATTTGCAAATTCATCCATACGTTACAATAGTAGGAAGCTTGGAGACCCCTCAAATTTATCTAAAGTTGAATGGAGAAAATTATAATTTTCAAGATCCATTAAAAGCACTCGAAAGTTGCTACAGATGTCTAACAGCACTACATTCGTTCCCGTTCCTTTGTGATTTTGTTTGGACCTTTATTGACAAAGCGGTATATAAAATTTGTAATAGAAAAATCAGCTCCTGGGTCACCAAATTATTGGTCGATATTAACAAATAAGTTTTCAACAATTGCCAAAAAAAGTTCTATGAAAATTGTTTTTAAAGTTATATTTTTGTAAAAATATGGATATTGTTTATCTATTAAATAGTGTTTTAACATTAATTTTATTTCTTTATGGTGACCCCAATCTTCCGAGAAAATTAGTTGACGATGTAATCATTTTTATTCGAGATTTCCTACGTAATGTTTTTTTATCATCGCTCAAAAAAGATATTTTATTAATTCTCAAAAACGAAAATTTGACCGCTTTTACATTAAATGAGATCGATCGCTGTTTTTCGGAGTATGGCAATATTTTCGAATATGTTGAAACAGAATCAAAAAGATTTAACCTCTTGAAAAAGAGGGGTCTTATTGATAGCGAAGAATTTAAAATCGGAATAACGTTCTCGGAAAAAATTGTCGATAATGATATTGCTTTAGTCCCAGAAGAAGTAAACGGCGTGTGCATTCCATTAAGAAAGAGTTTTAAAATGTTTCTTGAAATACCTGGTTTGTTTGACCAAATTTTGCAGTACATGAAAACACTTTATCAAGAATCTCACATTTTGTCGAATATTATCCAAGCAGAGGTATGGAAAAATATTTATGCTGATGGAATAAACAGTGATATCGTTCTTCCATTGTATATATTTTACGACGATTTAGAGGTTGGGAATGCGCTTGGTGCACATGCTGGTGTTAATAAGTTTGCAGCTATTTATGCCTCAATAGCTTGTCTACCACCGAATATTTCATCGCACTTAAATACCATTCTTTTCTCTACGCTCTTATATTCATCAGATAAAATTCTATGTGGCAATAAAAAAGTGTTCGAAAAGTTAATTCAAGAATTAAATTATTTAAGAACAGAAGGTATTGTAATAAATATTAAAAATGTCGTCAAACGAGTAAAGTTTCAATTAGTTTTAGTCTTAGGAGACAATTTAGGCTTGAATCAAATTCTAGGATTTGTCGAATCATTTAGGACCGATTTTTTTTGCAGAATATGCAATGCAACTTTAAAAGAATCTGAGGAAATGTGTGTAGAAGATAAGACAAAGATAAGAACTAAAGAGGATTATGAAAATGGTATGCATGATGGTGTTAAAGAATCGTGTGTGTTTAATGAAGTGAATGGTTTTCATGTTATGGACAATGTAACTGTAGATTCAATGCACGACGTGTTTGAGGGTGTATGTTTCTACGTTTTAAAAAATCTCATAAATACTTTTGTTTCTAGACCCGATTATTATTTTTCTCTCGAAACTCTGAATACTCGAATTCAAAACTTTGACTTTGGTTTAATGGGAAATGCGAATAGACCACCACCAATTTCCAAACATCGATTGACAAAAAAATGTAATTTGAAAATGTCCGCATCTGAGATGCTAAATCTTGTTCGATGTTTCGGAATGATCATTGGCGATCGAGTACCAGAAAATGATAAATATTGGCAATTGTTTATGTATCTGCGTCAAATTGTTGATATTTTGTTGTCACCACGTGTAGTTCGAAGCGATGCGCAAACCTTAAGTAACTTGATCGAAAAAATGAACAAACTTTACATAGAATTATATGGAAAACTCAAACCAAAATTTCACATTTTAATACATTATCCAACAATTTTACTCAGAAATGGACCTGTTGTAAATTTCTGGGCTATGAGATACGAATCCAATCATCGGTCAATCAAATGTACAGCCCAATCAACAAGTTGTAAAAAAAATCTACTACAAACAATTGCAGTTAAACAATCTTTAAAAATGTGTGAAATGATGCACAATTTGAACTTTGAACCATTTACAAAGTATGGAGATGTTAACGATTCCAGAGAAACAAAAAATTACTTTTTAAATGAAAATGAGAACAATTCTTGTAAATATTATAAACAAGTCACAATAAACGGCATTAATTATGAAATTGGAACATTTTTAGTTTCAAGTATGCAAGAAAGTGAAATAGAGTTCATCGAAATAGTAGATATAGTTTTGCTACAGAACGAAGTTTATTTTTACGTTAACACATTTACAGAAATTACATTTGATTATCATTATCATGCATACATTGTCGAATGTACGCATGAAAAGAAAATTCTAAAACAAAAAGACTTGCCTAGAATTGCACCCGCCTTATCAATTATAAAAGAAAACGCACACTTTATTGTCACCCGCTATGGATTATAATTAGAATACTTCGACAAAAGTTATTAATTTTATTTAAATAAATGTTTAAAATATTCTAAAATTGTTTTTCACTTTATCTTTTACCATCTTGTTAATTATATATTTTTATTTCAGCATTTGATATTTTTTAAAAATAAATGTTAGCTTACATGATACAAAAATTAAATTTAAGTAAAAAATTCTATTTAATAAAATATTTATTATGTAGCATTAATTAATAATTAATAATAAATAAATTAAAAGTAATTTATAATTACTAATTATAAATTATAGAATTAGAAAAAATTCATAGGTACATATAAAAATATTTATAATAATTATTTTCTATTTCTTTCACTTTTTTGTATTCTAATTTATTAATTAAATATAATTTTTCTAATAGTTTCATAATTTCCACTATATAATTATTTAATGTTATTAAACATATAGAGAATAGTTTTTTTATAAAAAAATTAGTAATTAATTCTTGTACTTTTTATTTCACTGCACTCTTTAAAGGTTAATTTGTCATAAGTTTTAAATTCTTTATATCTATTTTTTAAAAATAATATTGGTGTGAAAACTTCAAATTTTTAGAAATTATTATATACTTATAGATAATTAATGGTATATTTAAACTTAAACAGTTGTACAATATGAAAAAAGCCACAAATTTATATACACAAGTAAATCATTTTGTTGGTTAATATATTTTCGATAGTGGGGTATATGTTGACTAATTTCAAGTGCATGAGTGGTGCCATGTGCTTGGGACAAGAGATATCCCTTTACTTGGTGCATCTCAGCTCCCAGTTTTGGAATTTCGCTTGTACCAAGACAGTAGTACCAGCGCTGTACGACACTAGGTGGCTCTCAAGCACCAAAATTTTTTCCGTGTATGAGACTCGAGTTCTTTTTACAACCCCTATGTTATAACATATTTTTTGTTTTATACATTTTTTGATATGTAAAAAAAAATTCGAGACTCTGCGAGATATATATGCAGTCTTAAAACTTTTTATAAAGTTTAAATTTAATCAGTAATACAATATTCCTATTCATCCTATCTATAGGTGAGCCCAATAATGAAGTCCTTTTCACGTGGACTTACACATATAATTCAGAACCACAGAATTAAAATACATCATATATTACGTATTTCAGTTAGTCATGTTTCAATATTAAGTATAAAATATTCAACGAATGTATAAAATGCAACAAGAATGCATAAAATATTTCAGGTAAGTTATGTGAGCTTATATATAAAATCCCCAACTCTCGCGCAGCTTAATCATATTCTTGCAAAAAGCAAAGTAGCTCCCATAATTTGAGAACCAATGTAGATATATATACAGTGTAAAGCAGATATTTCAATTATACTATAGTCGAGGGATTCTGCGTTCTTCTCATGCAGCGCCAGATAGTCGATAATCTGCAGCAAAGATGTCTATATACTTCTGAATAATGTAAAGTCGTTTCTTATGACTATATCGTGCTGTACAATCTTTATCCGTTTTCTTTCTGGTGACGCTAATTTAGACTTAAATGCAATATACACATTTTAAAGGTTTTTCTCTTCTAGTCGCAGGAGCAGTGTAGCTATGGTAGAGGTTAGGCAAACCAACGGACGGAAATTTATACCACCATAAGCCAAAATCCCGAAGGATAAGTAGCTACCGCTTCCGTTGCACCGCAAGGAAGCATCCGGACCAGAGAAACCCACAGCTTTCACGGGCTCCAGACAAATATTCTGAATAGAATGATGTATTGACCATCAGCGAACAAGACTTTAAAAACGACCAAGTGTGCGAGAGACCTCCCGGTGAATTTTTCGACCTGGAAAATCTGTCGTCCTCCCCCATCAAACTGTGCATGGTGACCCTATTGTGTCATTGTAAAAAAAAAACTGACCCTATTTTACTAAAAGAACCATCAAAGGAAGTTGAACAATTTTCAGGGAGCCACGACCCTGGCCTAGTGATCATGACACCATTTTCACGGTTACCAGCAATTTAGAGAAAGTTAAGCCGTAAAGTGGCGAGGAATGCGAAAAATCATAAATAAAAGGATGCTACCAGAAGAAGATGTCAAAAAAAAGAAAGAAACATCTTCCTCAAAAACCATTAGACCCAGAATCTTGTTTCGTCCTTTGTTCAAATATCTTGAGTTCTGGTCTCAAATATAAATTTTTAAAGTGACAAAAGAATTGCATGTGCTTTTTTGACTTTTTTTTTCATTTTTTTATTGCACTAAGAAACAGTAGCAAGTCTTTGAAAATTGTTCTTCATGATTTACAACATGGATTGTAATGGATTTTTCTTGATTGTGAATATTTAGCAATGATCCGTTGTATAACCCTTTGTTGGGTTTTTTTTCTCAAAGGTACAAAGAAGCATTCTTCTCTTTTCTTAATGCGCAATGAATGAGAGAAAGGAGTGTGAACATAAATTCCGAAAGATGGATACATCCTATATTGAAGTATGGTAATCATTTTATTATTACCATGTAATTTTCTTGATCCTATTATCAGGGTAATTATATAAAAATATATCAGGATTATACTTCAAAATGCTTTTCAACTATTTAATAGTGAATATAGCCATTTAGTATAACTTTTGTATATATTTAAAAAGAACTGTTTTACAGTCCGCGACTTAGAGAAAGTGTCATTAGATTTCTCTAAAAAATCATTATAAATTTGTGAATAGTTATTATACTGATTGTATATTTCTATTTACCGTAATATTACAAAATTTACAATAATGCAAGATTACTGTATGTTAATGTTAGGCTTGTAGGTATACATGCTTATCTTGAAAAATTGTGTTTTGAAGATTAATTTCACTTATTGTT